TGGCTTGTTTGATGTTAGTGACAGTTGCATTTGCAGAGATGCATGGTTTTAGTGAAGCTTTTCAAAGTGCTGCTATACTCCAGCAAACACTTGGAAAACTGTAGCTTGTAGGTAGCCATTCTTGAGAATAGAAGTGGAGAACAGTCTGAAATAGTAATTAAATGTCCTGTATTTCCTTCATGCTCAAAATTTCAGTCTTCAGTTGCAGCGTAGAAGTTGCTGTGTGTATCATCTGTTATATCGCTTCCTTTCTGAGAGAAAAACCATGCAGTGTTTTAAGGAGACAGGTTGTGTCTTGAAGCGCTTTGAACCTTGACTTAAGTCCGTCTCTGAGTGACAGGGTTGCTGTATGGCTGCTGATTTCCACAGTGTTCCTTGAATTTGGAAAAGAATCTGTCAACCATACGACGCAAACACTGTTCTAAAGGCTGTGCAACCTTTGGGGTTATTGGTAGGCTTGTTTCTCAATTATGCTGTGGTCTTCATTTCAGTCTTTCATATTTCTGGAATTTTAACTTAAAGATACTTCAGTAAATTAAAATAAGATAAAGCCTTTGAAGATGCACAAAATACATATTTTATTGTACAAACCTGTGCTCATATTATGTATGAAAGAAATGGAGTGCAATGATCCTTTTTCCATGTTTACATATAGTCGATACTACAAAGTTATTTGAAAGAACACCATGCTGTAATCATGGAGAATGCTCTATTAGCATCACCTTGGGGAAACTGAATGGCTGTGATTGTGAAATTAAATGAGGGAACAGGGGCATCTCAACTTCAAGTGCTGTTTCTCTTTCATCCTGAAAATGATATAAATATATATTTTAAGTTTTGTGCTCATGTACGTTTTGTGCTTTATCCTATTTTTAAGTAACTCTTAACATATTCCACCAGAGGGCTGGGATTTGGGAGATCTTTTTTGTCAAACAAGTTAGTAGTATGTATTCCATTGTGTATCAGTTCCACTTTGTGCCAAGTTGGAATTATTTTTGACATTGAGAAGTGTGGTCATAGATGTTAGCTTTTCCTATAAATAAGACTTATGCTATCTTGTAAAAGTACCAACTGATGGAATTACAAATTCTGTTTTGACTTAAATTGCAGATTGATTTGGTGGTTACCGGTGTGTGACTTGTGATACTTAATTGAATTGACACTTGCTTTCCACTGTAAGGCTCATTGAGACATACTTTTGTAGACACTTCAAGTATCTCACCTTATTTGAAAGCATTGGTTTGTAATGGGAAATAAAAATAGAGCAAATTGTTGACTTTGCTTGCTAAGAGCTAAATAGCAGCATCAGAAGGCCTGGGCTGTAGGTTGGCAGAAATTACATAACATCAGACTGAGACTGTAAGCTGGAGTTGTGCTCTCACACAGTGGCAGTGTGCATGTTGGCAAACCCTGTTGTCATTTCAGGAACTGGACGGAGGAGGTGCTGCCCAAACTCCTTAAGTGGTTGGTTTGTTGTTTTTTAAAATTTGTATTATTACATATAGTTTTCAGCTCTTGGAATGATGAGGAGTTAAGTCAGCTGTAATTCAATGATTGATTTTTTTTTCTGCTCTGTACAAAATTAAAAGCATTCATTCTCCAGGGAGATGTTGCAGTGTCCTCCTAGTTTTGAGTTGCCAGTGTTGATGTGATGAGTGAGCTGAGCCATCCTTGGATGTTACCTACAGTAGTACTGCAAAGAAGCCACAGAATTAGTTTCATATCTTAAAACTCCATTTATTTGCTTCAAGCTGTTAAACAAATGAAATATGCAATCATAGCATCACTTTATAAGTAATTGTAAAGATGTTGTTGCAGCTTAAGGCAGAGATTTTAGTGATTTCTACATTACAGGCAAATCCTGTGTCTTTGCATGACTTTACATGACATGTCTTTGCATGACATTACAGAATTGTGCACAGGAATAGGATCTCTTATTCAGGGGCTTGCCAGCCGCTTGCTGTCACTTTGCTGGGAAGCAGGTAAACTGGCTGTTGGTGCTCTCAGAAGAACTATCTGCACTTAAGCAGTCTCTGGATGGCAACTGCATCTCCAGCCTTTAATCCCGCTCACTGGTCTTTGGTCTGGCTGCGTAGTGGTTGTGTGCCTCAAGAACATCTGGCAGCTCTCTTAGCATAGGGAAACTGCTGAGACCCAGCAGCTGCCAATGAGACCTGCAGTGCCCACAGCACCTTCCCTCAGGCTGCTGTGAAGATGTCAGTGCTCACAAAAAGGCAGAGGCCCTACCCAACCCTGGAAGAGCTTCACTGCAGTGCAGCTGGTTACTAGCTGCATGCAGGGTTCCTTCAGGCTTGCCCTGTCCCGGCTGCAGCTGCATCCTGATAACACTGCTCTGCTCCCTGCGTTTTGTCAGCCCTGTCTTTTTAGTCACCATGTAGAAATGTGGGTTGCCGATAAAAATATCAATATTTTATCCCTCTAATTATGAAAAGCTTTCTTCACTTCTTTCTAATAACCATGCAGTTGTAAGGTTCCATATTAGTGTCGGTGTGTTTTGTCAGTCCTTTAGGCATAATCTTGATTAGTTTTTGGGCTGCTTTCTCAAACAATTATCAGTGTAGAAAATAACCTCGTAGGCACTTCTAATTTGGAAGAAAGCATAAAAATATTTTCCAGCTTTTCAATGTATGGGCTTCATTTTCTGGCACACCAGCGTCCTTGTATTAGCTTTAAAACTATTCCAAGACCCAATGCTCTGACCTTATCCCACTGCCTCAGAAGCCTTTATGGTGGCTGTGAATGTATGTAACCAACCATGTGTAAATGTCTACAGAAATGAGACCCAAAGCTTTATGGGGTCAGAGACGGAACTGTTGTTTCCCACCTATATAGTTCCTGTACTGCAGCTCTGAATAACATATTATGTCTGTACCTTACAGTGTATGCTTCGTTGATTTGCTTTTGGTCACAAGTTTTATATTTTTATGGTAGTGTTGAGTATGCCTTAAAAAAAAAAAAGATAGCCTTCTAATACATCTTTTCATTAGAATTAGCAAAAAAAAAAAAAGTCATCTCTTATCCCAGGTATTGTTAAGAGTTCTGAAGAATCCTTAGGGACTTGTGAGGAACTGTGTTTTTACCTTTTCAAAAGCTGTGGTTGGCTGATAAGCTGAGCTGCTAGGGGATAGCTTCACCCAAACATTTCATTATCATTTTTGCAATGGTGAAAGCCAGCTACCCTTTTCTCCACACTTTATTCAGGCAGAGCAAAGGACAAGATAATCCCCTTAGCCTGTTAAATGCTCCATTCCATCTGGTAGGTGATAATTGCATTGTAAGGGGATTAGCACAGTGGGATATGCTTATAGTGTAATGAAAGCTTCACTACAAGTGTGAAAGTCAGCTGGATACGTTCAAGCAGTTTGGGACCCCACATTTGTGTTATATGGTCTTGCACAAAAAAGAGCAAGGTTCCTCTGGAGAAGACACGCAGTACCTTTACGTGCCTTTCTGTACCTGTCATAGGTGGTTCATTTTTTGTAGACGTGGGCAATCTGGGTAACTGAGTTTTTTTGCTGAGAAAAGCATAAGCTTTTGTTTAGCTGAACGTCTGGGGCCATTTCTGTGATTGTAGCCATAGTGTGTGCACACCCTAAGCGCTCCGCTTTTGCTCAGAAGTGCTGTGACTTTGAAACTGTGGAGATGAGTTCTTCGTAGTATGGGAGCACCTGTGTTACCAAACACTGCATAGAAATCTTCATTGGTAAAGGTGAAATGTGAATAAAGCACACCATGAGGAATACCAGAGTAAATGTGTATCAGTGTGGATAATAGGGTTTTGAGCTGAAAGTAATTCCTCTTGTAGCCAACCAGCAAAAGTGTTTTGAAATTTGGTCAGTGTCAGTTCTGAGCCCAAGGTAGCATAAAAGGACGCTTTGCTTTTCTTTTCAAGTCTGATGCTTAGCTAATGCTGTCAATAGTGATGACAGTAAGTCTTCAAGCTCAGAGCATTTCATAAGCTGCAATTTCCCTTCCTTATCTTCAGGATGTTACAGATCCATGTGAAGGTGTGCTGCAGTTCAGCTTTGATTGCTGAACTATTTGTTGCCCCCACTCCAATCTTCTGTTCCATACAAGGAACTAGGCTGGCTGTGCAGTGCTGGCCAGAGTGTGGTTCAAACATTAACCTGTTGGGTAGCCTGCTCTGTGTGGGCACAGTGTTTTGTAGCCAGACAGATTAGAAATTTGACAGCAGTGTGTGTTTCTACATAAATAAAATAAGTCAGGTGCATAAGTATGCACTGTATGTGGTAGATCCTGTAGTGACATTGTATGACCTTACTGTGGGAGGAAATTTGCTCATGAATTAGAGTTCTGTGAACAGCTGCATGGTTGCTCTTTCTTCAGTTTCAAGTTCCTGACTTAGCAGCTGTGTGTGTGCGTGAGTGCCTCGGGGAGCTAAGGGCAAAATAAAACCTTGTGTTTTCCTATGGATGCCTGCAATAACTTTGCCAGTCTTAATGTCACAATTGAGTGTGGTTAAGCTCAACCTGCTCTTACTTCATCATGGGTCTCGATGTGCAGGGTCAAGTAGAAAGTTGCTGGCTTATATATATATATATAATTTTATTTATTTATTTATTTATAAATAATATATATTTTAAATTTGGTTGCATTCTAAGAAACATTCCTGTATTTTCTTTGAATTTAGTATTTCTTCTGAGAAGGGTAAAACTAAGAAAATTACTTGGTGTCTGACATTCTGTAACTCTAAAACCTGAGTGAAAGGCACTGGGACATACGCTTCTCTGCAAACCAAACCATCTAATCTCTTCCCACCCTAGTCCCTTCTGAAATAAGTATTTCTGTCACTGAAAATCCTGGATGGATGAATAATTACACTGGCAATATCTATGTAAGATTTACAGAGGAATTTTCAGCTTTCTAGAATAACTTTTTAACAGTCCCATATGCGCATGTGTTTTAAAAGTATGATATTGAAGTGTGTAGCAAGCTTACGTGTCATTTCTTTTCTTTAGGTGACAAACAGCATGTTTGGTGCTTCAAGGAAGAAGTTTGTAGAGGGGGTTGATGGTGACTACCATGATGAAAACATGTACTACAGCCAATCATCGATGTTCCCACATCGGTCAGAAAAAGATGTAAGTTGAATAAGCTTGTTTTCCCCCTTTAATAGTGAGGTAGTTTCAAGCACGTTAAATGTATGTAAGGAAAGGCTTCATCAAGCTTTTAAGCTGTGTATAGCTATTTTCAGTGCCAATTGTTTTAGTATTTGTGCTCAGAAAAGTTCAATCATAGCCTTGCCAAGGCTTTATTTTTTCATCTTTGAAAGCTGTATTTGTAACTTAAACTAGATCATTGATTATATCTAGTAGTTACGTGTTGTCTAAATTGTTTTTGTTGTGTTTTTGCATTTTTCATCCTCAGTGTTCGTTTTTGACAGTGCCTTGCACAGCTTGTTGATCTGCTCAAGTAGTCTAAGTTAGGCATTACTCCCTTTTGTAATGGAAGAAAGGTGCAAAATCAACCATTTTTAAACATTTTTTCCTTTTGTAATGCATGTGGCTGTTTAATACCAGAGTGAGCATGGTGTTATGAACTGTGTAAACATAGACATTTTCTGTAGGCTGTTCGTTAGTGAAATTCAATCAAAATTTTCAAGGATAAGAGGAAATAGGTTTAATATCATGACTTAAGCAAAACTAAAAATGCTTAAACAATATGTTCCACCTCTGTTTAATTAAAATTGTTTTGATGAGCTTGATGAGAAAGTTCAGGTGAGCTAGCAAACAATTAGAACACTTTACAATGGAAAAAAAAGTAAAGGCTATTCTTTTCATGTTTGTCCATTACATCCATGTACATACCACAGATGCACACAGGCACAGTGCAATATGTGTGACATTGAACATGCTTTCTCTTCTGTAAGTACCTAGAGGTGCAGGGAGCACTCTCAGACACTAGTGCTAACCAGACACTAACTGGTTCTCAGTAAATTCCCTCTACTACATTTGATACGTTTAGGGAGAAGCCATGTAAGATGTGGTCAGAAAGGTAAAGTGAGATGCTATGCTGCACAGTCTACAGTGAAAGCTGATGCTTGGCACATTGTTGACATAGAGTATGAGTGTTTTAGTTGCCTACTCTTTCTGTAGGCAATGTTGCAGAAGTGGATCTTAGGATGGGACTTCAAGAGAAGGAAGGTGGGTGTTCCAGTCACCAGGAATGACAAATGAGAAATCCTGAAAGCTTATGGGAGAAGTGGACAAAATGGGGAATAGAAGCGACTGTAGTTGGCAGAGAAGAATGATGTGATACCAGCAGGAGATGGAAGAGTCATTTTTGCAAAAGCTTCTTAAAGTTTTGTTTCCAAATAATTGCTAAGGGATTTTTTTCTGTGTAGCTTCGCTATTGACAATTACAACTTCTTGAGTTCATGCTTATAAAGTCTTAAGCTATTACATGCTTTTTTAACAACTTTTTTAAAAGGTGATCAAAATAAATATGTGGTGGTGATGCTGACATTGTCTTGAGCACCTTTGAGCAGTTATGTATAGTTAAGTGTATTGTATGTATTGTATTGTATGTATTACATGTTGTTTTGTTGTTTCATTTGGCTCACAACAAATGAGAACGTCTGCAAAGATGGTTGTCTTTTGGTTTTCTTGTTGCTGTCCCACCAATTTTGCAGCTTTGGAAAACCTTTTCCAATGAAAAATGACGGTGTATTTAAATACTTTTTGGACTGAAATTGTATGAAAGATGATGTTCTCTTCATGAGGACACAATAAGTTTCTCAACTGCTTCTGTGTTTAGATAACACTTAGTACTGACAGACAAAAAGAAGTTTGCTCAGAATTTCCAGTGAGTAAGCTAATGAGGAATCACATTACAAAATTTGGATGCAGCATTATGAACACCTGTGGGGAAAAACTTCCAGCTTCTTGATCCTGGAACGTTTTTCAGTCTTTCTTACTTGACACTTAGATGGAAATATAGTATGCAAATGTGGAGGAAAAACTAAGGCAGTGGACCTCTTGGGGAAAATGAGGCTACAATCACATCATCAGACAATTGGCAATAGAAAGTCTAAAACTTAGCATACATAATCTCTTTGTAACTGCAGTCCTTATTGAAAAGAAAAAATGTTACAATTTGAAATATTTTTTTATGTAGTAGAATTGTCTATGTGTAATTTCATGCAATTTAAATGATTCTGTATTTTTTCATTTTCAGTTTCTTATGTCTTTACTGAGAGTAGGTAAAGCTTAGTTTAACACATGGCAGGTTTTAGCTACAAGTCTGCAAAAAAAAAATCTTTTTTCCTCCAATGTACCATCTATACATATGAACCCCTGGTCAGTCATATGCTTCACTTATCCTGTAAAATTCTTCAAGTTACTGCAAGCATAATATTTTGCATAAAGTTTTCATAAGCCAGGAACCCTCCTGTGAAGAGGCATCATTTTCCAGTCAGATACAGTGATGTCACATACACAATTTTACTGGGTTGAGAGTTTTTTCAGGAGTTCTTTGTAGCTTGTTTTAAAACTTAAATTAGAGATTTTAGTTCTTTTTTTTATCATGTTAAGAAATAGTTCTTTATTTACTAGAGTTGAAAAAGCATCTAGAAGCTATCTGAGAAAGATGGGAGGTGAGGGGGAAAGCATTGTATGCCTTCTCATAAACAATTTTTATGGCACTTACTGACTTGCTATTCTTGTGACTTGTTTCTTTGGCTAATTAGAATTTTAAATTCTTTTTATTTTAACCTGAAGATAAAGTGAACTGAGTAAAGGCTCTTGAAGTCATATCTTAAGACTTGAAGACTTTTGACAAGAGAGAACAAGTAGCAGCAAAGAATTGAGGAGATATTTTTATTTCAGAGCCTCATTTTAGCTGAAAGCAAAAAGCTTTCTCATAACTTGCCTTTTTTCACTGGGGGACATAATTCCAGACACTCAGGATTTGCGTGCTATTTGAAATGAAAAATTTGCATGTTATCCACACAGCTACTTCTAAAACATCTGAGTGTTGCATGGGTCTGTTTTTTGGGGGCACAAAACAGTCATTCCTTTGATTTTTATTCCAGCAATCTAGTGCTCATTCTTTCAATGGGTGGTTTTGCTGTGAGTCATCACAACCTTGCTGTGATAAGTAGGGAAGTGGAACACAGAATATCCATGAATGCTCTTTCTACGAATTCTGCTGCATTTAGTGTGTGATAACCAGGTCAAAAATGCTTCACTGAATAATTTGTATTAGACTGGTTGAAATTACAACAGTTTTTAAAGATAGTTTTAGTTTTGGCTTAAAGCAAATGTGTTTCTGTAACTTGGATTGGCAGTAAGGTGCATGCTGTGATCCCAAAACAATTACAGATCTTATTTGTGGCTAATGTTACAAACCTGATTGATCTGCCTCTCCACTCAGCGAGATCACTTTAAGGATAAGGGTCCATCTATTTGTGTTTGCGTGGACTGACTGGCAGAAATTGGCAACTCACGGGCTTCGTATACTTTTGAACCTAATTTCTTCAAATGAAGGGAAATAATGGCAATAAACTTCAGATCACTTCAGTTTGAACTTTCCATAAGGAAAAAAAAAAAAGCAAACAAAAAACCAAAACAAGTCTCATCCTTTTACCTGCTAAAACTTGTAATAGGCTTTTCTTCGACTAGTTTGTCCTGTCATATCTGAAGCCATTTTATCACCCACCTCTTCCTGTGGTAAGGAGTTCCGAAATAGATGTATGTTTCTTTTTTAAAGTGTTGACTTCTGCTGTCAGCTGCAGGCACAAATTTGGTTGTACACAGCTGTGCCTTTTAATGAAGATCTGCCCAAACTGTGACAAAAGTTTTTTTTGCTGTGGATGCTGTTTGCATTTCTTAGCCCAGTACTTGGGGGTTTTTTGGCCTACTTGCTCAACAGATGATAAAGAGTTCAAGTGATTTGCATTTCCAGTGGGTTAGTTTGCTGGGCTTAACTCTTTTCTTAAAAGCAAACAAACAAAAATCCTTAATGTCTTAACTGATTCTGGACTTTCTCATTTGAGACATGAAGCTCTTACACATTTCAGTTCTTTCAAAATGTGGCTTCTTGTGAAATCAAATTAATTTTAATAATGTGAACATTACTATATCGCTGAGGATAAGGAAAAGGCGGAGGTTCTGAATGCCTTCTTTACGTCTGTCTTTAAAAGTCAGACCAGTTATCCTCAGGACACTCCTCTCTCTGACCTGGTAATCTCGGCTGGGGAGCACACTAACCCCCCTGTGATTCTGAAAGAAACAGTCAGAGACCTACTGCTCCAGCTGGACTGTCGCAAGTCGATGGGGCCAGATGAGATCCACCTGAGAGTGCTGAGGGAACTGGCGGAGGTGATAGCCGAGCCGCTTTCCATCATGTGTCAGCGCTCCTTGTTGACTGGTGAGGTCCCAGAAGACTGGAGGCTTGCCAACGTGACTCCCATTTACAAGAAAGGTCGTAAGGAGGATCCGGGGAACTACAGGCCTGTCAGCCTGACCTCGGTGCCAGGGAAGGTTATGGAGCAGATCGTCTTGAGGGAGTTCATGCGGCATGTGCGGGATGAGCGGGGGATCAGGCCTAGCCAGCATGGGTTCATGAAGGGCAGGTCCTGTTTGACCAACCTGATCTCCTTCTATGATCTAGTGACCCATCTGGTGGATGAGGGGAAAGGCTGTTGATGTGGTCTACCTAGACTTCAGCAAAGCCTTTGACACTGTCTCCCACAGCATTCTCCTGCAGAAGCTGGCAGCCCGAGGCTTGGATAGGTACACTCTTGGCTGGGTAAGGAGCTGGCTGGAGGGCCGGGCACAGAGAGTGGTGGTGAACGGAGTCAAATCCAGCGGCAACCGGTCGTGAGTGGTGTTCCCCAGGGGTCGGTGCTGGGGCCTGTCCTCTTCAATATCTTTATTGATGACCTGGATGAGGGCATCGAGTGCACCCTCAGTAAATTCGCAGATGACACCAAATTGGCTGGAAGTGTGGATCTGCCTGGGGGTAGCGAGGCCCTACAGAGGGACCTGGACAGGCTGGAGAGCTGGGCTGGAGCCAATGGGATGAGTTTCAACAAGGCCAAATGCCGGGTCCTGCACTTCAGCCACAACAACCCCAGGCGACGCTACAGGCTTGGGGCGGTGTGGCTGGAGGACTGCGTAGAGGAAATGGACCTGGGGGTATTGATTGATGCTCAGCTGAACATGAGCCGACAGTGTGCCCAGGTGGCCAAGAAGGACAATGGCATCCTGGCTTGCATCAGAAACAGCGTTGCAAGCAGGAGCAGAGAGGTGATTGTTCCCCTATATTCAGCACTAGTGAGGCCGCACTAGTGAGTCCAGTTTTGGGCCCCTCACTGCAAGAAAGATACTGAGGCCATGGAATGTGTTCAAAGGAGAGCAACAAAGCTGGTGAGGGGTCTGGAACACAAGCCATATGAGGAGGCTGAAGGAGCTGGGAATGTTCAGCCTGGAGAAGAGGAGGCTCAGGGGAGACCTCATTGCTCTCTGTAACTTCCTGAAGGGAGGTTGTAGTGAGCTGGGGGTCGGCCTCTTCTCTCGTGTCATTAGTGATAGGACCAGAGGGAATGGCTTCAAGCTACGGCTGGGGAGATTCAGGCTGGACATGAGGAAGTATTACTTTTCAGAAAGGGTGGTCAGGCACTGGAATGGACTGCCCAGGGAGGTGGTGGAGTCACCGACCCTGGGGGTGTTCAAGGAAAGGCTGGATGTCGTGTTGAGGGACGTGGTTTAGTGGGAGCTACTGGGAATAGGTGAACGGTTGGACTGGGTGATCTTGAAGGTCTTTTCCAACCTTGGCGATTCTATGATTCTAACAAGTAACATCAAACCTGCAGATTACGTTTGGCTCATTGCTGCTCTTAATCTGGCTACATGACAATACCTTTCCTAAGGAAAGAAGCTTTCAGATTTGGATACTGAGTACAGTGAGATGGGTTATTGGTTCTGGGAGGGCACTTTACAGAGGGCCCTTCCCTTACATGGCAGAAGTGTGTCCACAGTGGATTAAATTCAGGTATTCTTCTCTCATGAGATAGTTGCAGACTCAGTTGCGTGAGGGGAAAGGTTGGCATCTTTGTCTTTTAATGACCAGGATGATGTATTACAAAGGAGTGGTCAAAAGCGTTTTATCACAGCCTTTTCCTGCAAACTTCCATTAAAGT